CTCTGATGCTGCTTGGCCTGCTGTGTTCATCCAGCTCCACACCTTGTTATCTCAAGTTTGTATTAGGTCAGGTAACTAGAAGTTTATTAACAAATAATTATGTACACTCATATGACATCGCTGATTGCAACAGATTTATTACTGTGCCTAGTTGCCCTTGAGAAGGTGGTGGTGACCTGCCTTCTTGTACCCCTGCAGTCCATTTGCTATTGGTGTAGGTAGGCCCACCATGCTGTTAGGGAGGGAATTCCAGGGTGGGTCAGTGGTTAGCATTGCTGCCTAACAGTGCCAGGGACCTAGATTTGAGTCCAGCCTCAGGTGACTTTCTGTGTGAAGTTTGCAAGTTCTCCACGTATCTGCAGTTTCCCCTGGGGTGCTCTGGTTTCCTCCCATAGTCCAAAAATGTGCAGGTTTGGTGGATTAGCCATGCCAAATTGCCCACGGTGTCCAGGGATGTGCAGGCTAGGTGGGTTAGCCATGGGAAATGCAAGATTACAGGGATAGGGTAGGGGGATGGGATGCTGTTTGGAAGAGTTGGTGCAGACTCGATGGACCGAATGGTCTGCTTCTACACTGTAGGGATTCTCTGACTTATATGTTTAATTCAATTACAATTACATGTATAGTGGGCTGGATGACAAACAGACTGACTAGATGCCTGCTTGCTAAATAGCAAAAACTGACAGAACGTACAGAGAATATACTGGAGTGTTAAATGTTATGACATAACTAGCTGTGTTACATGTATAATGCTTTTCTAAGATCTGTGCAATAATATATTGCCTGTCCTTAAATGCTCTTGAACTGAGTCGCTTGCTCAGCCATTTCGGAAATCAGTTAAGAGTCAACCACAATGATGTCATTCTAGGATTCCAGAAAGGCCAGACAAGGCAAGGACAACAAACTTCCTTCCTTAAAGAAAATTAGTGACCAAGTTGGGTATTTATGGCAATCAATGAGTTCATGGTCAACATCACTGAGACTAGCTTTCAATTCCATATTTATCGTTTGAATTTAAATCCCAACAGCTGCCTTTTTTTAATATCCGTTCGGGGACGTGGGTGTCATTGGCTGGGCAGCATTTATTATCTGTGTCTAGTTGCCTTTGAGAAGATGATGGTGACCTGTCTTCTTGAATTGCTGCAGTCCATTTGGTATTGGGGTGGGTAGACCCACAGTGCTGTTAGGAAGAGAATTCCAAGATATTTCCAAGACACTGAAGGAATGGTGATATATTTCCAAGTCAGGATGGTGAGTGTCTTGGAGAGGAACTTGCAGTGGGTGGTGTTTCCGTGTATCTACTGCCCTTGTCCTTCTAGATGGAAGAAATGGATTTGGAGCCTTGGGGAAACAGTGCATCTTATAGATTAAATACACCGCTGCTACTGAGCGTCGGTAGTGGATGGAGTGGATGTCTGTGAACGTGGTGCCAATAAGGTGGGGCTGATCTGTATTGCATGATATCAAGTTTCTTAACTGTTATTGGAGATGCACTTATCTAGGCAAGTGGGAAGTATTCCAAAATACTCCTGACTTGTGCCCTGTAGATGCTGGACACGTTTTGAGGTAAATGACTCACTGCAGGAGTCTCAGCCTCTAATCCCTCATACACAAGATATTTCAATGACAAGTCCAGTTCCATTTCTGGTCAATGGTAACCCGCAGGATGTTAATAATGAGGAGATTCAGCGATGACAATGCCTTTGAGCGTTAAGAGATGATGAATAGATAACTCTTTTTGGAGATGGTCATTGTCTGGCACTTGGGTAGCACAAATGTTACTTCTCATTTATTAGCCGAAGCTGGATATTGTCCAAGACTTGCTGAATTTGGTCATGGGCTACTTCAGGATCTGAGAAATTGTGAATGGTGCTGAACATTGTGCAGTCGTCAGCAAACATCCCATGGACCTTATAATGGAAAGAAAGTCATTGATGAAGCAGCTGAAGATGGTTGAACCAAGGACATTACCCTGAGGAACTCCTGCAGAGAGATCCAGGAGCTAAAATGAGATTTGGGATTTGAATCCACGTATCTAAAGCATTAGCCTGGCTGTCTGGATTATTAGCCTTATGACATTGCCATTATAGTACCATCTGCCTTGTGTTTGATGGAGGGAGTGTAGAAGGAGCATTACTTTCAGTTTAAAACAGTAGAGGAAACTTTAATTTTGATTTAAAAGAGTAGAGAGAGCAATCATTTCTCTGTTTCCAAATCTGTGCTGCACATGTCGTGAGAGTGTTCAATCGAGAAGGTGTAGAGAGAGTTTTACTCTGTATCTAACTCTATGTTGTCTCTGCCCTACAAGTGTTTGATGGAGACAGTGAAAAGGAAATTTTACCCTTCATTTAATACTCTGCAGTACCTGTCTTTGGGATATTTGATGGGTCATAGTCATAGTCATAGGGGTCTACAACACAGAAAAAGGTCCTTCAGCCCATCGAGTCCGCGTTGTCAAAATTAACCACCTAATTAATCTAATCTCATTTTCCAGCATTTGACCCATAGCCTTGTATGCCTTGACATATCAAGACAGTGCAGAGGGAGATTTACTCTGTATCTTACCCAGTACTGTTCTGGGCATGTAACTGTCTAGAACCAGTCACTAACTCACTCCTGGGTATCTGGTATTCCGCGTGTAAATCCTTGGAAGACTTTTTCACACATGGGGCATGGGTATTGCTGGCCGGCCAACATTTATTGCCTGTCCCTAGTTGCCCTTCACAAGGTGGTGGTGAGCTGCCTTCTAAAACCTGTGCAGTCCATGCGCTGCAGGTAGACCCACAATGCTAATAGGGAGGGAATTCCAGGACTTTGATCCAGCGACAGTGAAAGAATGGCAACATACTTCCAAGGGGAGGCAATGGCCTAGTGGTATTATCACTGGACTGTTAATCCAGAGACCCAGGTAATGTTCTGGGGACCCAGGTTTGAATCCCACCATGGCAGATGGTGGAATTTGAATTCAATAAAAATTTAATGATGCCCATAAATCCATTGCCAATTGTCATGAAAATCCCATCTGTTTCACTGATGCCCTTTAGGGAAGGAAACTGCCATCTTTACCCAGTGTGGCCTACTCATGGCTCCAGATCCACAGCAATGTGGTTGACTCTTAACTGATCCCTGGGTAATAAATGCTGGCCTATCCAGTGACGCCTAAATCCTGTAAATAAACAAAAAAATGTGCATAGCTGGATGGGAACTTGAGGTGGTGGTGTTCTCATCCAGCTGCTGCCCCTTGTCCTTCTAGATGGAAGTGGTCTTGGGTTTGAAAGGTACTGCGTGAGGATCTTTGGTGAATTTCTGCAGGGCATCTTGCAGATAGTATTTATATGCCAAGTCCTAATGAGCTTCTGGTCAGTGGTAACCCCCTGGACGTTGATAGTGGGAGATTCAGTAATGATAACATCATTGAATGTCAAGGGGCAGTGGTTAGATTGTCTCTCTTGGAGATAGGCATTGCCTGGCATTTGTGTGGCACAAATTTTACTTGCCACATCAGCCCAAGCCTGGATACTGTTCAGATCTTGTTGCATTTGAACATTGACTCCTTCAGTATCTGAGGAATCATGAATGGTGTTGAATATCATGCAATCATTGGCGAACATCCCCAGTTCTGATGGAGGGAAGGTCATTAATGAAGCAGCTGAAGACACTTGGGCCGAGGACACTACCCCTGAGGAACTCCTGCTGAAAGTCTTTAATATTTTAATGCAAGATGGCCAGTTCACTGTTGTTAAAACAGAGATTTGTTACCAAAGTGTTGGTCAGTGCAACCAAAACAACATGAAGAAGGAAACTGAAACCCTCTCTCACTGCAAGATAATGTGTAGCCCCTTGGATGTGCTCTACAAGGGAGTGAAAAGATGAGTTGCATCCTTGAGGAGAAAGAGAGAAAGGAGGGAGTTAAAGGAGCTGAAATATAATTATTCACAGAACAAGGCAACAATGAGAAATTCAGTTTACTCAAAATCTCTTTGGTTTAGTATGCAAAGGTGGGCCATTACAGTATAAAACAAACAGTCACTGTTAAAAATATCATAAAGGCAAACAGCTTATTAATAATAGTAAGAAATATAATAACACTTAGTCACGTGTGTACATGATATCCAAGAATACAGTTAAAACCTAACCTACCGGCACCAGGTAATGAATGTAAAGAGCAATATATAATACATGGAAGACGCATTGCAAACATTCCCCAAAATACTACAGTACCAAGACATCATTGGAACACAGGACTTAGGAGCAGGAGTTGACCATTTAGCTCTTTCAGCCTGCGCCACCATTTAATAAAATCATAATTGACCATATTGTGGTCTCAACTCCAAATGCTTGTCTGCACCCCATAACCCTTGACTGCCTTCCCTATCAAAAAATTTCTCTCAAGTAGTTTTGAATAAAATCAATGACCTAACCACAGCTGTTTTGTTGGGAAGAGCATTTTACAGACCAGCTACCCTCTGAGAGGGAACATTGCTCCTCATCTCCACCTTAAAAGTGGGTCTTCTTGTTCTTAAACTGTGTGTCCTCTAACTGCAGTCTCTCTCACAAGGGAAAAGGGTCTAGGCCCGAAACGTCAGCCTTCCTGCTCCTCTGATGCTGCTTGGCCTGCTGTGTTCATCCAGCTCTACACCTTGTTATCTCAGATTCTCCAGCATCTGCAGTTCCTACTATCTCTGAATCTACTTTGTTTGGTCCCATCATGATCTGATAAGTATTATTACAATGACCTCCTATTCTTCTAAACTCCAATGGATATACTCAAACTGTTCAACCTTTCTTCAGAAGTTAAGCCTTTCAACCAGTAATGACTCAAGTGAACATATTAAACTCCTTTTGGTCCTGGAGGTCCCATAGGAACATGTGTCTCTAAGACACTGCCCATGGCAGTACTTCAGAAAAGAGAAAATTGTAAGAGCTACTAAACAAAAGGTTGTTCCATATTTTTATCAACTTTTATGTTAACTGGAAAAAAAGTTGGAAATGTGTAAATAAATGGCTGTTTGACCGACAGTCATTATCCATCCAACCAGAGCATGAACCCATTTCAATTGACAAGGAGGAGCACTGTAGATAGACCAATGTCTGAAGGGAGGGTGAAAGGGTTATTCAAAGGTCAAGTGATAAAGCCTTCCAGGAATACCCCCATTTGGAGACGCCACCTTGCGTGAGGGTGAAGCATGAATAGGGAGGAATAGAATTAAATTTCTGTCTTGCTTGGCCTGTGGCACCATCATCAGCCTCTGTCTCTGACTTTCTCAATCGCTGATAATCTTGATATGAAACCTACAATATCCGTATGCACTTATAAAATTACCCCAGATTCCTTGTAAAGATTAATATTATCCATTACTATGCAGGACCTGTAGCCCTAACAAATCTATGTTCCTGCTAAGAGCATTATAATCCAATGCTTATCCAACAATGCAATCAAGAGTTATAAGTCAGACTAGCCTATTAAAAACATAAACTCAAGGAGATGCAAGTTTCCTATGTCAAGGAGACAGTGATAAAAAGGAACTTGGTGCCCGAAGATGTTCCCATCTTAGTACAATTGATTATTAACATTGTATTTAACTTTTAAAAGCATAAATAGTTGGAAAGAGCAGGGGAGAAAATTTGATAGGTCTTTCAGACAGCTAGCATGGATGCCAAGGGCCAAATGGTCTCTTTCAGTCCTGCATGATTCCACAGCTCTGTAACAAAACAGAACTCTATGAATCATGTTACCGTATTGTTACACCAATGAGAATGACCGTGAAACCCAGGTGGGTGCAAGGAAGGGAAGACTTCCCAAACCCTGACCCGAGCAAACAGTAAAGGCAAAGTGGGCCAGTTGGCAAGTTGTGGTCCACCCTCTGCATGTTTCCAACAATGCACCAAACAATCTGGGAAGACAGAGGTTCGTTATTGAGAAACCAGGGAAGGAGGAAACCAAAAATTTGACCCAACCATATATGAAGGTCTTCCCCTCTACTCTACCTCAACCCCATTTGATTGGTCAAGAGTGAAAGAGACTTTCAAACAATTCAACCTAGTGAAGGCCCTGAGAAGTTGGAACAGAGGAGCAGGTGTAGGCTATTCAGCCCATTGAGAATGCTACACCGCTGATTAAAATCAGTGCTGACTGACCCATCAATGCATTTTACCTACACTATCCCCATAACCCTTTACATCATTGGTAATCAGAAATTCATTGGCTTCTACTTTAAACATACTGAAAGATTGAACTTACCCAGGCCACTGACATAGAGAATTCCAAGATTCACAAACTTCTGAGTAAAGCATTTTCTCTTCACCTTGGTCCGAAACGGCAACATCCTTACTATTAAGTTGGGCCCCCTGAATTTAGACTCCCCACTCTTACCTGCAACTACACTGTCTATGCTTTTAAAATATGTTGTAAGTTTAAATGGGATCACCTCTCATTGTTTGAAACTCTGGAGAATATAGGCCCAATCTCTCTTCATTGGACCATTCCACCATCTTAATAACAAATCTGGTGAACATTCGTTGCACACCTTCTAAGGAAATAATATCCTTCCTAAGGTACGGAGACCAAACTGCACACTGCATTCAAGGTGGGGGTCTAACCAAGCTTGTATATAATTGAAGCAAGACTCCTGTACTCAAATCCTCTTGCAATAAAGCCTAACAGTCCATTAGCCTTCATAATATCTTCCTGCACCTTCAGTGTTACTGACAAGGATATCCAGGTTCCTTTGCACACCTACATATTCAACGTTTTACCATTTAATAAATACTATGCACATCTCCTCTTCCTACCAAAGTGCATAATTTCGTATTTTTTCACGTTATGTTCCATCTGCCACTGTCTTGCCAAATCACTAGATTTCTCCAAATCCACCTGAAACCGCTCTACATCTTCCTCAGAACACACATTCCTGCCTGGCCTTGTATCATCTGCAAATTTATAAATATTATATTTGATCCTTTCATCCAAATCCTTGACATATATTGTGAACAACTGGGGCACAGTATTGATCCTTACATTACTCCAGTGGTCACTATGCGCTAATGCGAGAATGATCTATTTTCACCTACTTGAAGTTTCTGCCTGTTACCAATCAGTAATACATGCAACTACATTACTACCTATCCCATGTGCTTTAATCTTTCTAACCAATCTCCTGTTGGGGACCTTATCAGAAGCCTTATGGAAATACAAGTTCATCAACTGCCCTTTATCAGGTTTGTGAGCAACATCCTCAGAAAACTCCAACAGATTTGTCAAACATGATTTTCCATTCACAAATCTGCACTGACTGTGCCAATCAGATCATTTCTATCCATTTATCAAGGCCTTTATAACAGATTTTAGCAATTTCCCTACTACTGATGTGAGGCTCACAGGTCTGCAGTTCCCAGGTTTTTTCTTGTTTCTTTATTAAATAATGGGGTGACATTTTCTACCCTCCAATCTAAAGGAATCATACCAGAATCCGTGGAATTTTAGAAGATGACTTTTGCAAGGAATAGAAATATCAGAGAGAGGAAGATGCCAGAAATTAAATTTGCGCAAAAGGATCCCAAAACCTTATAACCATGCACTTAAACTGAGAAAAATGGTCACAAAGGGAATGATACTTGGCTTTCAGACCAGATTGATTTGTATAAATTTGATGGGCTGAATGGCCTAATTTCTGCTCCTATGTCTTTTGGTAATAAGCCACACAGAGGTGATGATGGCTACAGGTGACTGGGGAGTGACAGTGATAGGTGCATGAGTCAGGAAGATGAAACAAGAAGGGTGCATGGAATCAGAGCAACTGGATTTAAGTGTGGTTTTTCTTCCTGATACCAATGTGCTAAATAAATGCAGTCCAAGGCAGTATTATTCGCGTGTAATAGGGCCACATCCAATACTTGAGAGCAGAAAGTGACAAGAGTTTCCCAAAAGAACAATTTTTATACAGAATTTGTCCTTACCAATCAAACTCTGGTGCCAGTTGCTAATCTTAACGATGTTTAAAATCACAATTTATCAATTGAAAGAATCTTGGGTTTTCATGAATAGAGTTCGAAAACACAAAACCCTCAGTTGGATTCCAGCCTGTAACTTACACCCGGGTATCTGCTATTCAATATATAAACCACCAAACCCCTCGATTAGATTCTATTCCTGCACTTACTTCATACAAGGTACTTGGAAATTCCCATGAGTATTTACTAAATTTGTAAATGTTTTCTTCTAACAATCTCATCCCCACAGGGAAGGGAGTTCATGTGGAGCCAATTGGCATTGTTAAAAATGCTGAGTTGGTGTCTGTTGAGAAAGGAGCATATGTGTGAAGATGCGTGGGTTAGGAACTTAGTATTTCTTACCTTCTCCTCATCTCCCAAACTCAGCAACCCACCTAGAATCCCTACAGTATGGAAGCAGGCCATTTGGCCCATCGAGTCCACATCCACCATCCGAAGAGTGTCCAGCCGGACCCACCCCCTACCCGATCCCTGAACCCTGCATTTCTTATTGTTAATCCACCTAGCCTGCACATCCCTGGACACTATGAACAATTTAGCACGGCCAATCCACCTAACCTGCACATCTTTAGGCTGTGGGAGGAAACCCAGAGGAAACACACACAGGCATGGAGAGAACACAGACAGTCGCCCAGGGGTGGAATCAAACCCAGGTCCCTGTGCCACCATCCCACTCCAATTTCTCCAATTCCTGACCCCAACCACCCACCTTCTCAATCCCAAAATGCCAATGTTCTGACAATATACCCTAAACCCACACATCCATCATTCTCTTCTCCCCCAGAAACATTTTATTGATTCCTGAGCCCATTATCCTGCCTCCCTCACAAGTCAGTCACTTATTCCCAAATTCATTCATGTTCTTTGTCTGAAATCCTGTCTGCTTTGTAACCTCTGTGCCCTGTATATCCAAAACCTCCACCATTGCACATAAAGCATTGAGTGTATAAATATATATGTTTTAAAAATTTGCATAATACTTAGTAAAACCCCAACCTACCTCAAAGCAAACTGCTAATACATGTCTAAGTTTGTGTTGTTCAGACTGCAGCCGTTTCACAGCACAGTGTTCAAGAGACAAGCAGCAGGGCTGACTAACACATTAAAGACCGGCTATTAAAGACGTGAGACTTAGGATCAACCCCCACCTGGCATATACATTGAATACTGTAATAATTACAAACAGAATTCCACATTCCGGCCCAGAATGACAGCTGTGTTAACTACCTAATGCCACAAAATGAAGTACTTGTCAGAATGTGATTTTGTTACAGGGATATTTCAGGTTACAACAAGCCATTCCGAAAGGTAACCAGTCAGACTATCTCTTCCTCCTCCTTTTCCAGCAACCAGTGCTCACAGAGGTTTAGTTCAGATTGCCGAGAGGAAATCTATTCAGCTCCTGAAATCCTTGTGGAATGTTGTAGCTGATCTGGGGTCGCAGAAAGTGGAGGAGAAAGTTATAATCGAATTCACAGGCCAACAACCTAAGACTCCCTCTCAGTCTCTCTCTCTCTCTCTCCCTCTCTCACACACACACGCAGGAGCAGTGTTGCCTTTCTCATGAAGATCCAAGTGGAAATAATCCGCGCTCAACTTCTGCTCATCTTCAATTCAGGATGAGAAAAGATCATTTCCGATGCATTGCAGTAATGACTATATCAATCTAACTTCCTCTTTGAATTTTTTCACATCTCTTGGTGTAATCCAACAAGGGTCCAAAGTTCTGTTTTTGTTTGGGAGAGGAGAGGGGGAACGAGAAACATAAAATTGGCTGCATCAATTGATTTTGTTTTGCAGGTGGGAGGGATGTCCAATTATTTTACGGAAAAAACACAGAAAATAAGTAAAAGCAATTTCTGGAGAAAGTCTCTGATCCCTTTAGATGACAGGGGTGAAGGAGAAATATAAAAGTGGCCACATCATTGATTTTGTTTTGCAGGTGGGAGGGTTGTCCCTTTTTTTATATATAAATACAGAACCCAAATAAGTAACTGCAATCTCTGGAGAAAGTCTCTGTCCCCTCTTAGACAACAGGCTGGTCATCACGGCATTTCTTGTAGGTACAGTAGATGGCAGAGATGATGTACAGCAAAGTGCAGAGGCAGGCAAAGATGGTGGCACTCAGGTAGGATTTGTAAGGGCAGTGGTAGGAGTAGGCAGGCAGGTCACAGTACTCCTTGTCCATGGTCTTCTTGCTGATCAGGCAGTCGGCCACCAGGTAGAGAACTGATGCCAGCCAGTCATGCAGGGCATTGCTGAGGGTCCAGCGTTCACCCCCCAGCAGGGGCACCAGGTCACTCTTGGACAGCAGAGTCAGGAAGAACAGTGCTAGTGTGGTGAGCCAGAAAAAGACAGCCACGAAGATCACGAAGTGCAAAGCCCCATCGTACCTGCTGATGGCGATGGTCATCCAGACCACGGTGCCCAGGACGATCTGAGACATCCTCAGTAATCCCAACAAACTGGTCAGGAACTTCCACTGCACAGACAGAGACGAGGCGTTGGCTGACTGAGGCGCCATGGTCTGGGGCACGCAGCACAGGGAGAGGATTCGGGAGGAAACAGAATCAATGAATACTCTGGCTTTTGAACAGACAGAGGAGGTGGACAAGGAAGAAAAGAAACCGAGACTGGAGGGGAGTTTCGTGATTCCGCTTCCTGCCACCTCCCACCCCTCTGTCCTTCTTTCTCTCCACCCACTAACAAGAGGAATCATTCACAAGAACTGCCACACTCTAACTTCCCAAACTGTTAGATTCTTTCTAACCTCTCGCTTGTTTTACCGGAACTTATTTTATTTTTACGCTTTTGAAACTTTTTACTCCTTTACGTAAACTTCTTATGCCTTTGTCCTCAGTCCTTTCTTTGCATTCTTTTAAAAATCGTTTTGGTCCCCCGCCCCTTTAACTTTTTAAAAAAAATTTAAGTCGATGTTTTACGATCCCTTCCTGCACAGGATTTTTTTAAAAACGCACTTTTGTTTTAATTCTCCGAAGTAGAAGATTCCCAATTTTCTGTAGCTAAGTGATTAATAACATTGTTTATGAACGTTATATTTTTAAACAGTTTGTCTTGTTTCTGAATTTGTTGGATATGGGTTCAGTTAATCTCTGTGCTCACTGCTAACTGTTACTCCTTTGTACCTGAATACTCCCAGCCCCCACCCTTTGTGTCCCACTCCCCCACCCAACTCCACAGAGATAACCTGCACCCTGAACTTCATTTTTCACTTAGGTTTTAAAAAGCAACCTCGCTATACCAACCAAAATTCTCAGACTTCAGGGATTCAAAAGTCTTCATCCTTCTTGAATGATCCTACATCATCAGTGCCTGCCCCAAAATATTTCCAGCCTCCCCCCAAAATGTTGCCACAACTTCCCCCAGATAAGCACCCTCTCCCCAGTCTCCACTCATCCCCCACTGGTGTGCATAGGTCTTCTTACAACCCCCCCCCCCCCCAAGTATATAATCGCACCACCGCTCCCCATCAACTACAGTCTCAAATTCTCTCTCCCCCTCCTCCCAAGCACAGTGCTAAGCTGTCCACTAACCCCCTCCCAGCTTCAGTCCCAGTCTCTTCACTCCCCACTGCCCCTCCCACAAACTCAGACTTGCTACATCCCTGCAAATCCATTCACCACACACTCCCCCACCCAGTCCCAGGCTTTAGAAACATAGCAAATAGCTGCAGGAGTAGGCCATTCAGCCCTTCGAGCCTGCACCACCATTCAACATGATCATGGCTGATCATGCAATTTCAGTATCCCATTCCTGCTTTCTCCCTATACCCCTTGATCCCTTTAGCTGCAAGAGTCACATCCAGCTCCCTCTTGAATATATCTAACGAACTGGACCCAACTTGTGGGAGAGAATTCCATAGGTTCATGACTCTCTGAGTGAAGAAATTCTTCCTCATCTCTGTCCTGAATGGCTTACCCTTATTCTTAGAGTGTGACACCTAGTTCTGAACATCCTCCTAACATTGCGAACATTCTTCCCACATCTAGCCTGTCCAGTCCCATCAGGATTTTATATATTTCTATTGGATTCTCTTTCTACACCCTCCCCACAGTCCCTGGCAGTCTGCAACCCTTCCCACCATCCTTGCCCCATCTACTCCCAGACTACATCCCCAAACCACCCCCCCCCCCCAGTTCTTTCTCCCCTCCAGACCCAGACTGGCCACATCCCCACCCTCCCAGACAGTCTGCATCCCCTCCCACTCACCCTCACTCCACCCAAAACCACCCTCCTTCATAGCCTGACCACTCCCTGACCTCCAAGTAACCTCCAAGCTGTCCAGTTCCCACTTATCCCCAATTGCAAATTGCTCAACCTCCCCCCACCCCACTCAAACCCCTCCATCCCAGGCTGTCTACTCCCCTCTTCTCGAGTCCAAGGCTGTAATGTCCATCCATTGGACCTACTCCCCCTACACCCTGAAAACATACACCCCAACCCCAGGCTGTCCACTTCTTTCCCAGGCCATGCTTTCCAGTCTCCTAACTCCCATCAGCCAACCCCTTTTAGCCCTCATAACCATCTTCCTCTACCACGCTGCATCTCAACATGAGTCCTTTCACGTATTCCCAGCCAAGAACCATATCCCAACCAGCCCTTCAGTTTCACTCTTGCCTAATGTGCGTGTGAGATGCTGTCTACCACTTCACTGTAAACCACTTCATGTTGTGAGGAGCAAAAGGTCTTATTGGCAGGTAGATCAGGGTGAGTGCTGAGAGGCTATTTTCCCCCTGATTTGAGAGTTTACAGCCCAGTGATCATAATATCAAAATATTTTGAACTGAGTTGAGCTGAAATTTTAGCGGGGTGCGAATCTTTGGAATTCTCTCCTCCAGTTATTGCAGGCTGAGATTGGAAGACGCTTGGCATCTTGGAAAATACAATGATGATAAAACATTAGAAATAGG